CAGCAAACGCACAAGCAAGAAAAATCAAATCGTTCCCAACACGGCCTGACCCTGCCCCAGGGCTCACTCCCGCCTTCTGCAGAAGCCCAGGGCCACAGGGAGGGGAGGAAAGAAATCATCCCAGGGCACACGGTGAGGGGGAAAGGGCTGGAGCACAGAGCTAGGGAGCGAGGTGAAAAAGGGGAGAGAGTATCCCTTGGGAAAGGGGCTCTAAGTAGAGCTAAAAGTGGGAATTATTTTCCCAGAACATCTTTAAGTTGGCACTCCACTAGAAAATAAATCCCTAGAACTTAACTGCTTCCGGAAGAAAGCATTTCTCATAGGATTAGCTTTGTAATGAGGGGATTATCCAGGAAACTCCCTCTAGATCTATCCAGCTCTTTGGCCTTTCACTTTCACGGGGCCTTAATAGACTAATAGGCTTTAGTAGTTTGGCTGGGTCAGCAGCTGAACCATAATGAAGATGTGCAAAGAGGCTGGGAGGAGGAATTTGAGGGGCACTTGGAAAGCATAGTCCTTAAAAGTGCACGGGTAAGTGCGCTATTTTGTGGCGTCTGTGGAGTTAATTAATGACAGGCAGTCTCTTCTTGCTCTCTTTTTTATGCTGGCTGGTGTGTGATTTGAAACTGGCTACTATTAATATAATCAAGGAAGAAGAGGGTTTGGCAAAGTGCATAGCTAATGTCGTGGGAGGGAAGTTGTGTTGGGTATTGCACTGAATGTTTCCCCTGGCTGGTTTCTGATGTAAAGTGTCAAATCCCCATTACCTTCCTAACTGTAATAAAAACGTTACCAACAGGAAATAAGGGGAAAAAAATCTTTAGATAATAAACCTGCTCTGGAAGTTTTGCACAGCTTTTTTTAGGCTGATTTCTACCACTTTTGGCTGAGCAGTCCATCCGCTTGGGCAATTTTGACCCCGAAAAAGGGGTAGGGAACACTAAGTGAATTGCCACAGTTTTCTTGGCTACGTGCCACAGGCTTTGCTGGCAAGCATCTCCTGGCGGCCCCCGCCGGCTCTCCCAAGTCACGGGGAGGTGAGTCTCCAATGCTCCCAGCTGGCTGCTCCCCCGGGGTAAGGCACCCCCCCACCCAGGGCTGGCGCACACTGGGAGCGGAAGTCTACGAAAAGCGGAGATGGGACCAGGTGGCAGAGGGCTATGAGGGGACAGAATGAGCCAGAGCAGGGGAGGGAAAATGAAAAACACGGAGGGGCTGCGTGGAAAGACTGTGACACCGTGTTGCACACGGGTTTCACTTCCCTGCTGTAAGCTAGCAGTGCAAGTTGGTGCTCTAAGGTTGCTGCCCTGGGGCAGGCGGGATGGAGCTTATTCCCCAAAAAGGGATGCTGGGAAGGATGTTCAGGAGTCCATCTCTTTTTCACAAATCAATCTACAAGGTTTGTGGGGGAAAACATGTAAGAAATCTAAAATACAGTTTTAGCTTCCCAAGGGTAGCCCTCAATGAGAGAAGGTGACTCTCCAATCTGGCTTTTTATTTAATCTCTTTGTGGTCACAAAGACTTTGTTGATGGATTTTCACTGAGCTACTGAGCTCTAGGAGCTTCACTGTGAAAGTATTTACCAAGCTAAGCTCCACACCAGCTCATGATTATGGTGTGGGTCAGCTATAATTCTCCTTCAGATGGAGGGAAGAGTCAAATTCAGAAATAACAGAGAAGAGCACAGGCAGAAAATGTATAATATTTGCTTTGCATTAAGATCTTTTCCAATAAGATAGCCTTCTTTTCTTACAGAATAAGCCAAAAACTATACAGAGTGTAGGCATTTTCCTTTTGTAAATACGATCAGAAACTTCACATGGTGCTTAATCGCACCACTGGGTTACCATGTGGCTAGGGACTGTGTTGGATGGTTTTACACGTGCACCGGGTCAGGTGTCTGGTTGCCCCTGAGCATCACTGAGGGTCAGTGTCATATCACTGGCTTTCTCAGGCCGGAGTTACACTGGATACAAACACACGTTGGGGGCAGGGGGGAGTCATTCAAAACGGCCCTCTAAACAGACTCCTCTCTTTCATAACCTGTTTTTTCAGGTGGCCCCTCGCTCCTTCCAACCCCCACCAGTACCACCTGCGTTTTTCAACAGCAATCCATGTTCACATGCTGCAAGGTATGAACTCGCATAATTGAACACACAGCGAAGCTCATCAAGGTGGGTTTAACAAGTCCGTGAGGAACATCAAGCTTTCCTGTCCTTTTTGAGGGGGGAGTGTTGTTTATTTCTCCTTCTAGGAAACGACAAGAACCATGCAGTTGGTGGTGGGGGCAAAGCCACACCGAGAGACCATGCCATGATGATTTGGAAGTCAAGTCAGGTATGTGGATGCTGCCAGCCTGGCAAGAGCACATCACTAACTTATAGCCAGTTCACTGTGAGCAAGCCTCCATTAATGATTGACTGGGCTCTGGCAAGCACCTAGAGAGGGAAATAACAAATGATGGGAAGCACCTGCGTGACCAGCCTGTCTCTGCTGATTGGTCTCAGCAGTATTTGAAAAAAAGGCACAAAGTCACCAGGTTTCTGGCTGGACAGGTAGCTTGTCCTCTGTGAGATGCAGGGAAAGGGAGCAATTTTCTCGGGGGAATTGCTCTGCCCCACGATGGTTTTCCTCTGGATCTGCTGTGCTGAAATCTGCCTGCTGCTGCTCTGCAGGGGCTGCCAGCTTCTGGAGAAGCCAGGGACAGGTGAGTGGGAACATCCCTTTGCCTGCAGAAGGTTCTCTCTGGAGTGAGGCCAGGATTTCTCAGCAGGGAGACTCAGATGCTGTCTGGATACAAAACTATTGACTGACAACTGAAACAACAGCTAGTATTCTTGAAATTAGTCAGCAGCAAAATCAAGGAAATGCAGGTCAGAGATGGGACAGAGGTCTGAGTTCTTCTTTGCACTCGAGTCCTGCTCTCAGCCCATATATCACCTTTCTTTGAAAAGGTCACTAAGCACCTTAGCACTTGGCACTGCGTGGGTTCACCTTTCCAGTTTGTATGTGTGGGCAATGTATATTTCTATTGAGATGGGTGGGAGGGGGAATATCTCTGCTGTTGTTTGCAATCTCTCTCAGCTGCTGGGTGCTCTGGGCTGCTCTCCCTCCTCTATTCCTCAGAGGAATAGAGATGCTCTGAGGGACAAGAGCCACTTTGCTGCATGCTTCAAATCCAGTTGATAACTGTGTGTCAGGCCTGTAGGGGACACCTCTGAGCTCTCTTGAGCAAATGTGAGTTGCAAGAGTGATGGCCAGCAAAGTACCTTTCCTAACTCTCCTCACAGCTCTGTGAGTGGGAAACCATTACTGACATTAGGATTGGAAAGAGCCTATTCCCTCATTTATAGGGTGGGCCTCTGCGGAGGTCTCCTGCCAGCTCTGTGCCCCTCTTTGAACACCTTGCGGTGGCCCTGGTGCTGCCCAGAGTGAAAAGAAATAGATTTGGCTGCTGCAGCTGGGAGAGGGCTTGGACAGACAGCTAGCTTCTCGGAGCTGAGACACCTGGTGCACACCAAGAGAACAGTTTCTTATGACTCTGGTTGGGAAAACAAGCCACCTCTTCTGCCAGTGGCTGGGCCTTCCCACCCAACCGTCCCCCTGCTTTAAGCTGCAGAGCTTTGAATCCATGCTACTTTGATTGTAATCCTCCTCCCTTGATTGAAACCCTCTATTCCTTCCCAAAGTACCTCCAACATCTGCTTTCTTTGCAGATTTTTGGTGAGGAGGGGAGGGCTGGCTCACGAAGCAGACTGGTGGGTTACAAACTCGAGGCTGTGTGCTCTAAGCCACCAAGAAGAGAAGGAAACAAACATGTTGGGATGGTTTTCCTGCCCCATGCACCAGTGTGGACTTGCTGTTGAGCACCTGTGAATGTGCTGTAGGGTCTCCAGTGGACAGCAGTGAGGCCCAGATGGTCCCTGTGGACCCCTTTAGCTGCAAGGAGGCCACCCTGCAGGATGCTGGCGCTGGAGTCCTCTCTGGGAGAAGGTGCTTGGCTGTGAGGCCAGGACAGGAAAGTACCAGGCCTCCGAGGGGCTGGGGAAGAGTGCCCTTTGCCCCATCCCACCTCCTGACTGTGGTGCCAGGTGGTTTCACATGTATTTCCCTAGTGGGGCTGCCCAGGGGATCACATACAGGGAGCAGGCAAATGAGCCCATGGCTTGGCTTTGCTGTGCTTTCTACAAAGTCTGTCCACTCCCTGGGCAAATGAGGAAACCTAAATGCATCACAGGGCCAGTGTTGCAGTCTTTCACTGGTACTGCTGTCAGTGTGATCAGCTGTTCCTGTGCCATGCTCTTGCTCACCACAGCACTACTTTGTGGTTAGGAAATGTACAGCCTGGGCTCATGCCATCAGTCACCCACAAGATGTAGGTGTCTTGGGATACCCAAGCATTCAGCACAATCTCGTGATGGAGTTTCTCACTCCAGAGCTCTGCCAGATAGGAACACATGACCAGGTGCTTCGAGGCGCTCTGGCCTTTCCTGAGTGAACTGCGTTTTCTCTCGCTGATTTTGAGGTTTGGTTTGCTCCTAGGTTTGGAGGAAGCAGTGAAGTCTGAAAACATCGTTGTAGCAGCCCTTGGTGGAGAGGCAGACCTGTATTGCAACTTCACACTCACGATGGATGTTCTGCAAGTCACCTGGCAGAAGAGAAATGGGTCTTTGTTCGAGAATATCGCCACTTACAGCCAAAACCATGGACTGACACTGATGGGGTCATTTCAAAAGAAGGCAAGGCTCACTAGAGCAGGCCTGAAAGCCTCAGTGATCACAATGCAAAATCTTACATTAGAGGATGAGTCCTACTACAGATGCATCTTCAATGTATTCCCTCATGGCTCTCTCAGCAAAGATATATGCCTCAACGTCCAAAGTAAGTTTTCCACTACCACGTTCTTACTTTCTGGCATAGGGCATGGGTGTGGTGGAGTCGTAAGGTGTGTAAAGCATTACCCCTCTACAGCATGGATGCTTGCCACTCAGCAGCATCTCCTCAGTACACATTCTCCAGAACTGCCACACCTTTCCTCAAAGGTAGTAAAGGTAAAGAAGCCAGGGAATGCTTTTAGCTAGAAACCCCAAACAGAGCTGACCTGTCCAGCTTTGACCATTACTTCACCAAAGAGTGTAAAAAGCATGCTTTTTTTTCCTCCTTTCAGCGGTTTCTGAGCTAATAGTAGAGTATAATCCACATCTGGATACTGAGGGCCTCCTCACTGCAGTCTGCTCAGCAACAGGAAAGCCTCCCCCCCAGATCACCTGGCTGGGTGGTGAAGACCTGGATGAGACCTCCAAAGTTCACCACGTTCAAAATGCAAATGGAACGGTTACGGTGGCAAGCAGACACACCTTCCCTGCCCACCAGCTCCAGGGCTTGGCTTGCCTCCTGGACCATCCTCAGGGAAGGAAAATGAAGGCAATTCACCCAGAAAAAGAAAGTGAAGGTAGGCCACTTTGCATGGAGCAGTGCAGCATGTGGTGGGAAGTGCTTAGGAAAGCTATATCAACAGCTAGCCTCATGGAGAGGAAAGGAAGCGTGGTCCACGCAATTACCCATCATCTGGCTGCCATCAGGATAGCCACTGGAGTGTGCAATTGTGGGAATGCAGCTTGTCTCATGTAGGTCTTGTTAAATGTTTTTCTGTGCATTCGCACCTTATGTTGGATGGAAGTTTCATGGTTTGAAAACATCCAGGAGGCTCCATCCCTAGGCATGTGCGCAGCTGTGCAGTGTGTGTGGGCACACATATGTGTGTGGGTGCATATATATACATAAATGCATACACATGGATGTGTAGCTGATGTGATCAGCTCTCCAGCAGTATCTGCAGCCAGAAGGTACTAGCAGAGCAGGCCCCTGGCTGGGGCCTGCTGGGGAGGAACATCACATGTAGAAGAGCTTGCAGTACCTTATCTCTTAGGAAGGATGGGAGACTTCCCTCCTGATAAAACTTGCTGTTACAGGAATGGAAAAGCATGCAAACCAGGAGTAGGAATGTTGGCCTTTGCTTCCCCTGTACCAAGAAGTGTGAGAAACTGTTGGTATTTCCTTCAAAAGTAAATGTGCGCTTTACCTACCACAGCAATACATTCTTAAACTGTTCTTTTCTTGTCCTCAAAGAATGAAATGAGCTCTCACTGACTAATGCTTCTCCTCAGTGCCAGCCTCTGGCAAAGGACATGAGGAACTTGTTGACATCCCTCCATGTTTCCTGTGACTCTACTGGGTTCTCTTTGTAGGTGTCCCAAAGAGTACAATCATCGTGGCAGTGTTAGCAGCTGTGTTCTTCATGAGCTTGATGCTTTACATCACAAAACTAATCCACAGAAGAAGAGCAAAGTAAGGGGAACTTCCATTTTCTTGTCAGTGATATGACTTGTCTGTGTCCATGCTGCAGTTTACCTTTCTGTTGCCTGTTGCTGTCTTGTGCATGCCTGGACTGGACATCTATCCAGTTAGTAACAGCAGTCTTAAAACAGTAAGACTCCCTCTAAATGCCAGGCGATTTCCAAGTGTCGTGTGACTCATTAATGTTGTTTCAGACTGCAGAGTTGCAGAGCACCTGGCACAACTGCAGAGAAGCAAGGCTTACACCCAGACCCAGGCAAATAGGCCCTTACCCTGCATACCCCAAAGGACCAGCATTACTTCACTGGGATTAAGCACTATGCAAATGCTTGGGATTTCCAGCAACTATTCAGGCCTGTCCAAAGCCTTGGCAGCACTTCTCGGGAATGTATCTGACTTTTTATGCTGCCTGTAAGATTCAGCATTGCTGATATTCTGGGTTTGGGCATGGGCAATGGTAGGAGAGGACCTAGGTGGCAGAGATGAGAGAGGAAAGCAGACTTCATACTCACCTCCTTTTGACACCATCGTGCAGAGAGTGACTCCCAGAGATGTGCTGCTTCCCTGGGGGCCATCTGAGAGCTGTTTCCCTGCTGCAAGCCAAGCTGCAGCTACAGCTCGTGAAGGCCCATCTTACTGGGGGGAGTTGCCACTGTCGGGTGGGGTACTAGTGGTGGAGAAGCAGCAGGTCCCACCTGGGAGTCTGGCTTGGAAGCCCTGCACCCACCATGGACAGATAGCCCCACCAGATAGATTACAGCTGGCTGGCACATAGGTGCCCGACCTCAACTTTAGCATTGCTGGTCGGGTCCTGGAGGTTGAAGGGGAAAGCTGAGCCAACAGCCATCTGGAAAGGAGGGGAAAAGGTGTTGGAAGGGCCCAGGGGGGTGGACGGGAGAGAAAGCAGAAGGTGATGAAGCACTGTGGAGCTTGGGCTCTGTAACCAGAAACCATCCCACAAGGACGTTTTCCCAGAAGTGTCTATCCTGCCCTGCTGGTCGCACAGGCACAAACATGTACTGGTGGGCAAGGGGCATCCACAGACAAAATTAGTCAGTGAGCACAGCTAGTAGCTACCCAGTTTCCTTTGACTTTTCAGACTTGCTGTTCTCCTTTCAAGCTCTTGCTAGTTCTGTGTTGTGAGGAGGTGCCCATCTGTTTTTTCATCGTTTCTCTCCGGTAGATTATACTGAGCTGTGTCATGGTTACACCATGATGTTGATTCTTTTATTCCAGAATCGGGCACCAGGATCACTTTACAAAAAGCTACCAAGTGTGAAGAGAAGTTGAAAGAGAACAAAAACTGCAGGCCTTTGTTTTCAGCCAAAGGGGGAGTCTGAAAGGTAATGGCAATGATGTGTCTGAGTGGCATAAGTGCCATCATTTGGCTCCTGAGAGAACAGTGATAGGTTATATTTTGACTGAGGACCGGAGAAAACTGAGGCATCTCTCGGGATGAAAGACTTGCAGCTGAACAGTCTCCTGCAGTACAAGCAGCGCTCCACAGTCGCATCGCAGAAATCATTTCTGAGTGACCAGACATTTGGAGGGAAGGTGTATTTACAGGAATGTGTTGAGTTTAGAGAAGTAGGCTAAGGCTGCATTGCCCTTCTTTGTGTGGGAGAAGAACAAGACACACATGGAGTTTCAGTCCTATTCAGGCGACTCAGTTGAAATAAACTTCTTAGCTCCCCAGTTTTGTCTCCAGCAACTTGTTTCCTTGCTGCTTGTAGGCACCCAGGTGTAGCAGAGTCTCAGCCCACTATCAGGTGCAGCTGGAATACCCTCACATGGTTATCTTGTACTTGCCCTCTCTGCACTGAGTCAGAGAGGGAGACAAGTCCTCTCCCTTAGGAGCCCCAGGGCCAGTGCCCAGCAGGGTGCCAAGCAAGCAATCCTCAGGCACAGCCTCCCTTCACGCCTCCTCTCTCTTACCAGAGAGAAATCCCTAGCCACTGCAGCAGGAGGTGCTGGAGCCTGCGGCCCCTCGCTCCTCCCCTCTCCCGCCGGGACCACCCGCCCTTTCCAACAGCAACCCGCGTATACATGTTGCAAGGTACGAACACCTAAAATGGCATGTCCATTGAAGCTCCACAGGGTGGTTCCCTGAGCCCTATGTTTCCCTGGGGCTCACTGGGCTTTCAGAGCACACCTGCCTTGTCTGAGGTTGCTCCTTGCAGCTTCCTCCAGCTGAAGGAATGTCTTCAGTCCCCACGTCCACTGAGGCAGGCTGCAGCGAGAAAGCTTACAAGTGGTGGATGCTCTTGCCTGAGATTGAGGGAAGTGTGTGTGCATGTGAGGCCACAGGGAGGCAGGTGAGGGATGCAGAGACATCAGCATCAGCCTCCCCTCAGAGGTGCACAGCAGCAGGACAAGAGGAAAGGGGCACAAGCTGGCACATGGGAAAGGGTTTTTTATCAACACAAGGGAGGTCAGATTCTGGAGCAGGCGTCCTGAGGCGCTGAGGAATCTTCATCCTTGCGGAGAGTCAAAGGTTGCCTGGACAAGGCCTGGAGCAGCCTGATATGCCTGGACCTGCTCTGCATGGGGGTCTTGGACTGGACCACCTCCCGAGGTCCCCTGCAGCTGCAGTTATTCTGTGAGTCTACTGTTGATGCCTTTGGGTGTTTTTGCTCCAGCTGAACTATTCACTTTGCTTCCATTTTTTTAGCAAGGCTGTGAGATGTGAGTATATGTATACAGAAGCCTTCGGTAATATGATCGAGTTATTTTGTGCTCCCTTTTGATATTTCACAAGTAATCTGTCAGGAGAACCTTTGCTGCAAACATAGCAAGACCTGTGGAATATCTCAGGGTAGGTATTTCGTGAAAAGTTATATTTTAAGTGGTCCAAAATGGACAGCTTCCTTTAAAGCTGTCTGTATCACTACATTAGAGGATGAGCTATGTTACAAGTTTGTCTTCAATGCAGTTACATAGGCTTTTCTAACAGTTTGTTTTGTTGTGCAACCTTTATGCCAAGTACTTCTTTTCATAATGGCAGAGTACCCTCTAGTGGGAGAGATCAGAAGTGAACGTGATAATGCATTTGTGAGTCATTCATAAAAAAATAACTTGAGAGTGCCATTTTTCGGTTTGGGCATCAAACAGACATCTTGGTGTGCAGCAAACCTATTCTAGCTATTAAGAAAGCACAGATACTGCATCGACAGAGATTTGGGAATAGTGCAATGGAACAACTTTATGAGGATCTTCTTGCAGGAGGACCGTGGTTACTGAAAGGCAAGGTATTCAAATGGCTTGATGGAGAGAACAGGGCATTTTTTACAGTCCTGCCTTGCCCTGCTGGAGAAAATTCTGCCTCGAGAATTTTACGAAAATTCTCGTAAAAATTCTGCCTAGAGACAGGTGTGGACCCACCACCAGGCTGGAGGGGTCTCTTGAGGGAGCTGGATTTTCTGCAGATGGGCTCCTTGGCTGCGGGAGCTCTAGCAAAGCGGAATCTCCAGTGATGTTTTAACCATGCATTGCCCAATGTTTAAAGGGCAATTATTCCCTCCCTTCTGATAGCCCATGCTGATTCATCTTGCTTTGAAACGTGCTGTGCCACAGGCAAAAAGCTTACAACAGGAGGCTTCAACTCAGCATTCCTGGAATGAGAGCTTTCTGAGGATACAAATTCATTAAAATGTTTAAAAAATAGTTTGTCTAAACCAGCACTCTAACCAACCACAGAAATTATCTGTGTTTTTTCACATTATCTGTGTTTTTCATCACTGATTCTGGTCTTAGTCTAACTCTTAATTTTCCTTCCTTGTTAAACAATAGGACTGTAACATACTATTTTCCTTTAAACCTGTAAAAGGTTACTGTCTCAGATGGTTCTGCTTAAAAGAGGTTCTCAGTCCAACAGTCAAAGGGAGAACCAGGAAACATGTTAATAACAAAGCGTGGCCACCCAGAGGGCAAAGGAAAGAACAAAGAAAATAACTCGTTCACGATATAAGGGATTTTCCTATTTAATCAGCACAAGTAGCATTGCAAGTGGAAAAAATAAAAGGAGCCAGAACAAAGAACTCTCCAGATTTTAAAATCTGAGGTCTCTACTTGCTTTCTCAGAAACCTTCAAACACTTTCTTACGTCATACAGTCGGTGTTTTACCTCCCAGCTCCAGAGAAGGAGACTTACAAAGACCTTGGCAAAAGTTGGCAGAAAGCTGAGCTGAGCCAGAACCTTGTGAAAAAAGAAATAGATGAAACATGAGCTCAGAAGAGGGCAGAAAAGGACTTTCATATCTTGTTCTTCTGTAATAAATATAAATACACTTTTATTTTCCAAAACTGTTGATCTGCTCAGAGAACTTTCTATTTGCCTCTGTCTGCCTCGAGTTTAGCTGTAGCTTCCATCTGTTACTTCAGTACTATCCTTTCCTTGCTCAGCTCTACTTTCCTCCCTCTCTTCTAAGAAAGAAGCCTTCCTCCTTTCCAGGCTCTTCTGTCATTTTCTTCTTTCTTCTGAGTTTCCCCAGCCCATTGAGGGAGTAGTAGAATTTTGATGAATACGGGACCTTTCCACCTCAGAAGACATGAGTTACTGGTGGGTAAACTAGTGCAAAATACCATCCGAATCCCTTGAATCTCCCCTTTATTTTCATGACGTAAGAGCAGGAAGATGTCCCCGGGACTTCCCTGCTTCTGTCCTTGTGATTGCACAGAGCACTTCTGGATAAGTTTATTCTAAGCTATATAGTCCACAGTTCTCTGGAATTCCCTCTGAAATCTCCTCAACTATTGTGAAAGCAGGTAAGCACAGATCTACATTTTTCTCGTGGAAAGAAAGATGTGTCTGAAGGATACAGGTAAGTCAGTCTCAAACAGCAAGCAGGAGGTTAGTTGCTGGTGACCTGACCTGCTTTGGAGGAAGTAAATTGTTTCTCCAAAAGGAAAAGACTAGCAGATGGAGATTTAAGTGACTCTACCTGTACTAACTGGTCCTAGGAGGTGGAAGGAAATGTTGGGGGGGAAAAAAAGGCAGTTGGAGAGTGTTTGGTTTGTGTGTTGGCAGAGGGAAGGGCCCCACTAAATCGAGCACGGTGGTAGTGCAGATGTCTCCGAGAGTAGCTGTATCCAGCTGGAAGAGCCAGTGCAAACCTCCAAACAGGGAATGGTTCTCTTTTTTTGGCATTATTCATCAGATCTAACGGCACTGGTTTGTACGTTGAGGTATTGAGAACAATAGAAGAGACCTATGTTTAATGTACAGATGAGCTCAGGACGGCTCCGGAAAGGTGGACACAGGCATAGCAAGCACGCTCCATTCCTTGGGATAGTTTAAAGGCAATGCTCAAAAAGCCCCCAGATATCTATATCTTAAATATGGAAAGGTTTAGGGGTTTATATAGACTCTCTTGACCGCTATAAGGGCATCTTTGTCAAATAATTTTGGCAGGGCCTTGAAGATGTCTCATGTCCAACTTCCTTTTCCCCCCTCATAAGCAACGATATTTTAGAACAGGAGACCTTCTAGAGCCTTGCAAAAGAAACTTTTTAATTGCCGTGAATGAAGTATAAGAACAAATGTGCGTCTGTGCATGTGAAAGCACCAGGAGAAAGGGCAGACACCATGTTGTGTATTGATAACAAAGGACACTCTCTCCAGGTGATCAGTTTGAGAAATGGGTTGTTTCTGTTAAGCCCCTTCTGATAAAATTACAACAGAAACAACCTATCAATGAACGATCCTATAGCATAACAACAGGAAGGTGGCAGGGAGATTGCAGGGTATCACCCACCACATCTCTTTTCCTCTTATCCCAACAGGAAGATAATAGCAAAAGACCACTCCCAAGGATATAAAATATATGGCCAAGAGTCTGTTTATTATTGCCAACACAGAGAAACCCAGAGGATGCAGTGAGGGCTCAACAGAGAACATCCTCTGCCCCTCCTGTTGCTACAGCTTTGTGCTTGTGAATACGAGACTGTGAAATATCAACTTGCTTAGAGATTTCTTTATGATAAAATCACCTTCCCTTTCTGTAAGATTTTTCACTGAGTTTTTACACAAATTTCCTTCAGCTTCATGTCAGAAAAAGGTATTTTTTTATCTGAGTTGAGGATCCAGAAAAGAATCACCTTAGTCCGAGTGCTCAAACTGTTACTGGTGACTGTGGCCAGGCTATTGACCTGTTACTAGCACTTGATATTCCAATTTGTGCTAATTAAGGGGAAAAAAAAACTTTCTAGGTTGACAATGACCTTAGTAAATTTGTTACTTAACTTTCAGCAAAGCTTTGCAATAAATAAGATGAAGAAATGTACTGGTCTTTAGAAAAAACCTCTGCTTTCTAGAACACAAAGTATGTACAACCCGCGAATGTCACAGCTCTTAACTAGCTACGTAGTTTATTATTGCTCCATCATGTTGTTGCCATTGGATTATATTTTTACTGTTTTATGTCAGTACAAAAATCTGTAATAGTTGCACTAGGAAAGAATTTTTATTATTACCATTGAAGTGAAATTGGGAAAGAATATGCTTTAAATATAAAAACACTTTGCTCTGTTGCATGTCGGAATACAATACAAAATTTCCTTAAAAATAGAAGGCAGTTCTGTTTGATGCTGTAATCTGTTTTCAAAAGCAGTGTGATCATCCATCCTAGGGAACAATTGGAATTAACTCCGTACTTTGAGTCCTGGAGCTGTTAAAATCTCACAGTCTTTCAGTGTTTACTGGGTTCTTATCTGAAGCAGTTCCCAGAACAATCAGTAAATTTTGTTGATATTAATAATCCTTGAAGGAAAAATGGAGGGTGTACCTAATAGAAATAGAAAGGCTAAAGGAGGAAAACAGTCTGTTATATTCCCGGCAGCTCAGCCCTTAGGGGAAGGAAACAATTTTCAGCAGATACCAGAGGCAACGGTAGGCCTAGCAGACGCTAAAATGTGTTTATAGTTTTACTGACGGGTGATTAAAAAAAGAGCAGAGCGTGAACTTTTGACAGGCTCTCCTACAGTAATGTTGTTGGGTGTGCAAGGCTGAAGCCCTGCTCTGTGACCATTGTCAACCCTAACCCATTGCAGGAGCAAAAAGGCAAACGTCACGCACATCTTTGAGGAGGAAGAGGAGGATCTGGGCAGCTACAGCCTGGCTTGGCCTCTGTGCCGGCAAGGATTACGGAGCTAATCTTCCTCCTCCAAGCCCCTTCCAGGCATGTGCAGAGCACGAAGGTGGTTGGCATCAGCGCGAACTTCCGACGGGCGAACCAGGACCTGACGGCGTCCGGCAGCGAGAGGGGCGGACGAGGACAGGGCAGCGCAGGTTGCCCACGCTAACTTTGACGCGGTCCACCGCAGCGTCCTTGGAGCCGAGCTGATGAGAGAGGGCCTGGACCAGCGGGACGCAGCGGCGGAGGCGGGGAGACTGGACGGGCCGGGGGG